CCCCGGCCCCAGCCGCTTGCGAGTCACTGGGTGCCAATGGTGGAAACCAGCTGGTTGCAGCTGCGCTTACATCAGACACCGCGCTGGGTCGGGACACGATCCGTGAGAAGGGACGCACGTCCTTACTCAGGGGAAGGGCTGGAAGATGAGTGTGTGAATTTTTCAGCAAATTTTGGAGGGGCATACACGTAACCTAAATTGAGTGTGGTTCCCTGAAAAATGGAAACTACTTCCTGAAGTATTTCCTGACTGCAGTACAAAGAAAAACAGCTGTAAGACTTTTAACCACTGCACATGCACTTTCTACGCGGAATTGCCTGAAGAATGTATTTATCTTGTGTCACTAACATGGCTGAAAACTAAAGTCAGTTGTTTCATGAGTGTTGGCACCAGCGGTCCCGTTCCAGGCTGCCCACCTGCGGCTCAGTGCACACAACGGGCACCGATGGCTCAGTGTTCCTGTGGTGTCTGGGTGATACAAATCTTGACTTTTAATCATTTTGACTGCAAAATACCTCAACCAGCCGTCTTCCAGGAGAGCCGCGTACTCGATTGCATGGCAGTAGCAAACTTTACACGAGCTTTTCTGTGCATTAAGCACTGGCTTACCTGCCCCTGCCAGCAGCCAGGGCTTCTGCAGAGCAGCGCGGCACAGAGGCAGCGACCGACGCTCAACTCCGACCACGGAGCAGCAGCAGGGCGCCTGCAGGAGAGCTGGCATTCAGTGTTTCAGTGCTGCCGTTCAGTGTTTTGGCATCACACAAGCGAGAGAGGCAAAAGTCACTTGTCAGGGGTGCAAACACACAAGCAGCCCACGCAAACTCTTCCATTGTTTGGAATATACTCTATAGTGGCTGTTGTGTTTAAATCCTGCTTTGCAGAGGGGCAAAAAGCCAGAGAGAGAGAGAGGAGGTAACAGCAAATTAGAGAAGGCCACCATGACACACTTCTCGTAGCCATGGAGCTGTACCAAGCTTTCGTTTCTCCTTTTTGACAGAGTGGTTGATGTGAAAAGTATTTCTATAGTGCTGTGTGGAAGAACATCCATTCTGTTTGAGTGGTGTGAAAATAAAACTGCGCCTTGTGAAGCTGTGTGCGCTCCTGAATTAATCAGCCAGCCCAGCGACATCGCAGATCCCTGCCACAAGCGGGCACGCTGCTGTGAGCTCCCCCCAGGACAGCCCAGCATGCACAGTGGTTGTGCCAGAGCCACCCCGCTGCCTGCTGATGCCCAGCAGCAGGCAGCTGCCCGCCTGCCCACACG